AGAGAGAGAGAGAGAGAGAGAGAGAGAGAGAGAGAAATAAATTATTTAAATATAATATTATAGTTCAAAAAATCTAGCTATTGTCTTTTAAATTCTTGACCAACACGCGCGCCGAATTTTTCATTTTCTTTAAAATTTATAAATAATGATAAATAACGTTAATGTTAAATTAAACTCTTTCAATATATTTATATAACGACTTGAAGAAAATACGGACTGAAACAATTCCCTTTTATGATAACCGAAAAAAAAATGGTTTCTTAATATATTTAACATCATAAAAAGATTACATCTGCCGACTGGACACGTTATAATTCTGTCAACCGTGCGCATTTCGGAGCGACCTTTTTGCCCGCGACGGCGATACACTTTCGAGAGCGTCGCGTAAGTACCATGTGTGGTCCAGATCCGGAATTCTGCTGACGACCGTCCGGGGACCGCAGCAGGGCTGCATCAGTTAAGGGTTTTTGCTCACTGAAGCGTCCTTACGTACCGCCGAAGCGCGGGAGGGATCCCCAAGGATTTTACACGGGCTGGGATATAAGCGACGGCCAAGATTACACCGTAACTGTCCTGCAACGCGGCTGTTCCTCTCGCAATTGAAAAAGATCTGTTTCCTGTGGAGAAACGGCCGGAGCGTTGCTCTCCCGATAAACGTATCGGAATGGTTTTAATACGGTGAACGTGCGTCGCGAAAATGGATGAGGAGTAAGAAACTTTGCTAAAGAAACTTCGATGAAAAACCGTCGCTTTGAAAGAAACCACGTTTGCAGAGTAATTCACGAAACTGATCAAATCGTACCATTGTTAGAAATTTTTTTTGAAAATTCCTGAACGAAGATATCTGTGAAAAAAGAGATCATAGACATTTATTTGTTTATATGTTATAATTGATACTGAAAGTTATCGTTTTCGTCGATTGTCTTCTTTGAATCAGTTAATCATAGATAATTATTGTGTAATACATTTTTTATAAATTACGGCGATATTTTAGCTGCAACACGAATGAATTGTTTAGATTCCTTTTTGCAAGATGCTATTGTCGTCATTGTCGATTTTTGTGCTCAAGGGAAGCATTATTGAGGGAACTGGTTTTTAATCGAAGAAAAATCTGATAAAATAAAATACCATACAGCAGAATTATGTCACCAGGAGTTACGCAACAATAGATGACACAGATTCCCATGTCGTTTACTGATGGCGGAGGTGGGAGTGATTGCGTCACGGGTTTTCCAGCGATCATGATCTTTTATTAGAACCTTGGATTACACTCGTGGATTTGTTCACACACGCTGTCATCTACAATATGTTCAATGATGCAACTTACGTATGTTAATCTACTAGAGTGGCGCGGTACTTACAGCTGCGGCCTACGGCGTAAAGCGCGGGGGGGAGGGGGGAATTCTTTTTCTCTTCTCTAATTCGACTCGTATCCATCCGGTTCACTTCGATCGGCCTAAATCGATTACGCAACGAAGTATAATTGCACTGTGTATACCGTCCTCGTGGTAAACGTCTATCGATTAATAAACTACGCTGCTCGAGGATGCGCCGGGAGCGATTTAGCGTCGCGATGGAACTCTCGACGACATATCGACGATTACTGTGAATTGATGTAACCGAGTTCTCTGGGACCCACTAATTAGTGTGCTATATTTGGAGTGCATGACTCAAAGGGGTTAAATCAGTTCTCATATTTAAATATCAAATTTTCCGATTAATAATATTATTCTTAGGAAGAAAATTTGATATATAATAAGTTAATAAAATTCATTACAAATAGACGTCATCCAATAATCAGTTTTTATTATCAGTTGCTGATAATAAAAATAACAATTAGCTGTTTTTAACAAATACATCTTTTATTATTGGGAAGTTAATATGGTGCCTAGTTTTATCACAACGCTTAAAATAAAAGACACGGGTACGTATGATAATCTATAAAGGAATTAGATAGATACGCGAGGAACATGACGCATTATATGTCTTCCAGCTTTATTTGGAAAAAAGTGCTAAAGGTATCTCATCCAAATTTATCGACCTTTTTCTTGTCTGCACCAAAGAAATTAAATACAGAATTAATTCTGGAATGTAAATCACGCGCATGTTGTATCAAAATCACACGGCTGTCTTCATTTATCTGCATCCTCTATACGTGCGTGTTACACTGAGCTTCTCGCGAATTTTACTAGAAAATTATGGCGATCGGAGTAATACGAGACTAGATTAACGAATTCGCTTGGAAATCGTCGAATTCGTATAAGTGTCAACGTGACTTCCGCCTTCGCTCTGTCGAAGACGATAACGTCTCCGGCGGACATTATTCTAAGCGTCGCTCTATATTCACAACGAATACCTCGCGAGTTTCCTGCCAAGCTTCTCGATTCGATCGATCTGTCCGCCTGCTTATGACGCCGTAAAAGGACGAAACGCGCAAACATCCTGCTAAAACGAATCGCCGCGTATCCTACCAGTAAAGATCCATTACCGGACGCGACGAGAAGCTGCCACTTGACGACGCGATAAAATCGACGTCTGTTTCTAGCCGGTATCACAAATACGTAAGACGAAATATTTGCTAACGTTTGCTAGTGAACGGGTTTCACATTTTGCGCGCGAAGGGGCCTTACGACGGCGAGACTGGGCTCGATTTCAGCGAATGCCGCGAACGTGAAGCGAATTATAAATTGAAGGGTCTGACGCAACACCGTTTTAACGCGTTTTCCTAAAAGATCGAGAACATTAGTTTACATTAGATTTAAATAGTATTCGTTAAAAATTCGATTTAAATTTAATATACTACGTTCAAAATTTGTCAACTTTTCGAGATTAATTTCCTCAAATTCTTGAAAAGGCATTATAAACCACTGTTGCGCCTCAACCCTTAAGTTCGACGATTATAGAGATCGACCAGAGTGTGCTTTAAGGCAACGGATGTGTCGCAAGCTTACGGAACGGTTCGGGTTAAATGTGTCCTCCTCTTCGTACGCTGCTGCTCCTGTATGTCGCGATTAATTCAGCCAGCCCAGCTCGATTAATTGGTCGGCGTGGACGGACTGTGGACTTGGCCGTAAAACATACCGCGTGGAGGACGGCAAGCCGAGCAATCGGAGCCCGCCCTTTCCGCGGCCGGCTCGTTCCCTGCAATAATTATCATCCGGTAATTAGCGGAGCCCGATGAACATCGACGGATGCGCTATATAAAATCAATCCTTCGCGGTCATGCCACGGTTTCCCGGTTGGGGTAGCAAGATCTTTATCGGAGACACGTAAATAAATCAGTAGTAGAAGCCTTAACTAGTCCGACGAGAACTTGTCAGACATATCTAACGTGACAAAGTTATACGGGAATTAAAAAAGTTAAACTTAAAATATACGAGCACATTAGGTATATGTTTCTGGACATCTAAATGTTATTGTCGAAAGTACACCTTACCTAATTTGGTCTTAGAGTTTATTAAAAATTAATCAGAAATTTGAAATTATAAATGCCCACTGCAGAAATGTGATTCAAGCAAATTGAGTGGCAGATAGTAATCCTTATATAAATAAAAATAATTCCGTGAGGAATTATTTTTATTCGCATATAAATACGTCGATAAAATTAGTTAAAGGGAAATACTTAGAATTCACGAGAGATTCATTCGTAGACCGATTAGTCTCATTCGACTAATTTGCGCAAACGACGGTTCAGTCAGACGAGAGGGTGGATTTGTTTTCGCATGACGGGCTTAAAAGGCGGCCTCTGAAAAGATCGTGCGGTCGCGCAGGGAAGAAGAAAAGAAGAAGATCGGAAAGTGCGGGCTTTTTCCGACGGCTGTACGTTAGTCAAAGTGCCTGGCGTTCACCGTCAATGATCCTGTATTCGTATTCATCGCGTCGATGCAGCACCTATCTCGTTATTTTCGGCTTACGCCCGCGCTGAATGGGTCCATCGGTATACCACGAGCGATGTATGTGTACACACGACGTGTGCTACGTATATAAAAGTGTGTATATACCGTCTCTCGTCTGAAACGCGCGTCGTATTTGCAAACATGTTCTCTGTGCTTACATATTATATCATCGCATCGCGCGCTCGTCGAGTATATCGTAGAGAATATTTCCACGGAGTAAAAGAGCGATACTGATTTTAAGAAAAAAATATTAACATTTTAAATTTAACTTTTTAACTCGGTCATCTATAAATTAAATTTCAATTTTCGAACTCTTTAATTACGTTTCACTTTCATACGACGTTTATTAATTCGCGAGTTTGAAAACTTGTGAGAATTATGCAAAATCAATTATCTTCTAAAAAAACGTCTCTTTTTGATAATATAATTTTTTTGTATGGCACATCTTGTAATTAATATCAATTATAATTTCAAATTTGTCTGTTTGAATTCTGATCTCGTCTTTGCCTGCATCCGTCCGTCAACTGGTAATAGTTGTCCGCTACGATCCTAGTTAATCCGAAGGAAACGTATATCACCGTGCGATATTGTGATGCATCCCGTCGTCGTTGGGCTCGGGAATCGCGGGCGTCGCGATGCCGACGGAACTCGACGTCGGCAACGGCCACACCGTAGGGTACGCGCAAGCGTCGACGCAAATCACGCCCCTTGGCCGGCCGAAGGGCCACCCGCACCCCATTTCCGCGTTATTACAGCCTGGAAGATCCACCCCCGCGTCTGAATATCAAGGCAACCCTCCGCGCGCGTTTCCACTTAACACTCCGGTCGCGACTAATTACTCTAATTAATTGGAACTCCGATCTTCTCGCCGGGCCGCTTGATCCATGGTAGTTACTAATTAATTACTAATATCAATGGGGGCAGCCCGTTTCTACGTAGAACGGCGCGCTTTGAATCCGGCGAGCTCTCGGCTATTCATGCGGAAATAACGTGTAAACGTAGCATACGGGGGAGGCCGTTCCGCGAAAATGCGCGAGAGACGATTTTCCGCGACATCGACTGAGGGCCCGGCGCGGATCCTGAATTATATCGCGAAAAAGCGCATTTCGAGCGACGTTAATTGGAAATGCCATCTCTCGTGGAAATTCCAGGAATTATCCCGTCCGTAGATTCTGAATCCGTGTTTTCAATTTATCATGGTAATTTATAACGTGATGATACTCGATATTATAAAATCCTGTATATATTTTTACTGCTTTCACATATTAAAATATTTTCCAGATCCCTGCCCAATTAATTATCGGTGCGCTTCTCGGTACGACATGCGCGACCTTAAAGTTTGTAAGTTTTAGATATTCTTTAATTAGCTCACAGACAGTTAATTTAGTAAATGTTTTATTATAATTAATGAAGAAGAGGTCTGAGTAACGTTCTCAGGATTTCGACTAATCGAAAAGGAAAGCTTTCTCTCAAGCTCCAAAAGCTAATTTGCACGGCGAATCTCTTGCTCACCCTTGAGAACATTGAGATGCCGATAGTAGGCACTGCCGTGCCAGGTCTCGGGACTTCTCGCCGGCGGCAATTCCGTCTTCACGTCGCGCAGAGCCGCGGCTTCCTCGGCGATCTTCTCAGCCTCCCGTTCCTGGCAATAAAATTTTGATATAATTAATTTCTGTAAGTGGGATGTATTAACCCTAAAACACACAGCATCCCGAAAACACATGGGTCTAAGAGACCCGTGTAACTTTGATTTAAATTAATATTTTTGGACTTGCTTTTTTTTATTTTGAATCTCTGAGATTTAGGAATATGCTTGAACAGGTGTTAATACCAAATTTTATTTCGTGAAACTATGAAGTTTAAAATTGAATATCGAAAATAGAAAACTCCGAGCAAGTGAAGTTTCTGAGTCTGGGAGACTTATGCTGTGTATTCTATAGAGTTAAGAAATATACACTTGCATCTTTATACAAAATTCAAAATGAGCGGTAGTCGATACTTTAAAAAACAGAGAACCAAAATAGGGGTGGTTTCTACATCCAATTACCTCTCATGTATTTCTTCATCGTTCAGCGAGAGAGAAGAAGAAGAAGAAATATATCTTAGTACATTTTCCATTGAAACATAATAATAACGAGTAGTACAATAACGGTGGTGTAATAATTTGCGAGTTTATTTTTCCGCCATTTGTTTACTTTGACGAGGACTCTAATGTCCGTATAACGTCACAATCCGTGACGTCTCGCGATGTAAACCTTTACTTATATCGGCCGACGAGCATTTTTCATTTTACATTAAGGAACTCGCGTCGACGTTTGGTCAGCCGGCGAGCTCGCAGTAATAATATCGTCGCGGAAGTGCGCGTCTGAAAACAGGAATCGTCATTTTCGTGGCGACAGGTGAGCAGCGCCGGATGCGTGGGGGAGGGAGGGGAAACGAAAACGGGTCGGCAAACAGTCGCGCGATATGTCGCGGAACTCCTTGACGTAATGACAGCCGTGGAAATATGGATGACGACCCACTCATCTTGATCAACCACTCAGGTATGCAACGATGACTTGCGGGGGTGACAAGGATGGCGCGGCGCGGTGGCGCGAGGGACCCCCGCGCGTCCGCGGCGATCTACAATCTAAACGCGCGGCTCGCTCCCAAAGCGGGACACACGGTGCTTTATTTAATGCTTCCGTCGATAGCGATCGTCGAATTACTTAAATTAATTCCGCCGCCGCGCGCGCCGTCGCTACGGATCGATCGAGGTGAATTATTCACTCGGCTCGGCCAGGGACGAAACGAGCAGTTACTCCACCGCGCCGCGCGCCGCGCGTCCTGCCGCCGCTGTGCCACGCCGATTAAAAAGTCACGGAAACGCGCATTTACCGTAATGTCCGTGGAAGGGAGTTTACCGGCCCCCCGGGAGCCTCTCGGAAACGACTTCACCGCTGGTACGCGCGATATTTCGCGTCACGGCGAATGCTTCGGGATTTGCGATGGTAACTGTTAAAATTCCAAGATTTCTCCTTCAGAAATATATCTCGCGTGCGAAAACGCCGAGCTGAAAGATTATTTGGGAGGATTATTTCGCGGAATTATTGTTTCATATATGTATAGCAGTACTATCCATCATACACACGACTAATTTTATAAATGCGCACTTTGAAGAACCGCGTTACACTTCTAATAACATTTATACAGCTAAGAGAAAGCTAAACTATTATATAATTAAGAATACGTAGATATCTTAATCATTCGATGAACGTATATCACAAATTCTTTCTGAGACATTTAACTTGATTTTTTTGCATAAATGATCATACCTGAGGTGATTTTTACACCCCAATTAAAAGTCATTGCTATTAATTACATATTGCGTATTTTTATCGTTCTATAATTTATTAGTATTTTAGGATAATAGATTTACTCAACATTTTCTGAAAAAAGTAAGGAAAAACAAAAGGAGCACATTAAAATTATTGTGACGTGAGCTTCAGTTAACATAAAACATAGTTCGCGCGCGCATAAACTTGCAACATTAATTGCGCTAATTACTTCAGTGTTGGGAAGTCGAGTTCCATTGTAATTATATAAAAAATTCTAATACTAGTATGTACAGTCAAACATAAGATGAAAAAAAATTAATTATGGATATTTAATCTTCTTGATTTATTAATCGTCTGAGCCTTTGACATTTAATTTATAAATTCCTTATACCTACATCTAATATATCAGTATTACTAGAACCTTCACAGCTGCCAAAAAGGCATGCTGATAAACTTCGCCTTGCATTCCCAATGACTCATTAACCGCATAACATTAACAAGGGTTTTACCCTTATAGCTTAAGCGAGTCGTTTGTAGCGATTCGCTGTGGGCGGTCTATTGCAGGGATGTTACTTAAAAATTGGCATATGTCGCGGCTTATCGATTTCGTGCGCTTCACGGTGTTCGTGATGAAAAGAGGAACGAAAACTGCGCGCAGTAGCAACGGCGAAGACCCACGACGGGAAGGAGCGTCACGCGAGGATGCATTTTTAACGACGACGCCCGTGCTTTCTGCACAACTCGCTCGAGTTCTCGTTAGCTTAAACGCGTTACGAAATAGAAGCAACTATGTCGCGACGCGAAGTGCCGAGCGTGAACTTCATATAAGTTATACGGCTCACACGAGTTACTCCCGGGAAAATAGAGCGGCTTGTAATCACTTTACGTCCTTCTCGAGCGCCAAGTATAGCAGAAGTTAATTGCATAAGCGAGTAAGTTCTATGAGGTTCTTAAAGATGAAGTCGATTAAATGAGCGTGACGTCCGTAAAACTCCAAGCGTCGTGAAAATATGAAAGATTTCGAATCTGATTCATAAATATTAAATATTATATAATATAAATATTTTGAGTAGCTCAAAATATTATAATTTGTAATTAAATAATCAAGCCGTTAGATAATCTGAAAAAAATAAAATCACTAATAACGTGTACAAATAATTTAATTGTCAATTATCCTCCATATAGTTGTCGTTAATGGAGCGATATGACAAACGTCGCTGTATCGAACGCGAAATAATTATTAACGTCGCGTGGTTATAATTAGCGTGTAACTTTAGCAGGTATAATTACAACGAGAGGTGGGAGAAATTCCTTTAGATTTTTCGTCGTAACCAGCCCCTCGATTTGCGCAGCAACGCTAACACGAACGTTGTTAACTGATGGTAACGCGAACGATTGTCCCCTTTCTTCTCCCTTGCAAAAGTAAATGTAATCATCGTCGTCCACGCGCGCGGTTACGTGTGACGTTGTAATCGTCACGGTGGTATAAATATTTCATGTCGCGCGCACGGACGTTACGCGGTACAATCGACTTTAACTGCCGTTTCGAGGCCTGTTATCGCGACTCGTGCATCTCGGCGATTATCTCGATGTACGGCCGCGCACGTGTGCGACGCCCCCGGAGCTGCGTGCTTCGCGATTAAGGTATATTCGCGCTTTCAAATAGCAGTGTTTAGCGCAAGAGTTTGCAATTTGTCTATTTTCATCTCGCCGCTAATTTTTAATTTAGCAAGAGACTACCGCCTCTGAAATCCTTGTTAGATAAGCTCTCGAGAAATGGAGCTGCTCGAATTTCCGTATCATGGGATAACTCTCACTCTTTATTACTCTTGTATCAAAATTATACAAGTTTTTGCACAAAGATCGGAAAAGTTCAAGATATTTAGGTTTATTTATAAAAGGATATAATATAGGGACAATAGGTTTGCAATTATCGTTCGATGAAATCACGTCGCGCGGCAGAAATTATCCTCCCAGATTTTTTTCATATCGTCCAGCCCTCCGTCATGCAAGGATTAATCATGGGCCGATGCTCTAATGGACTACGTCAATTAAAGCGCCGATAAAATTTTCATGCTGTTTGGGATTTCGAATAATTATGTTTTGTGTACAGAAAGAGAGAGAGAGAGAGAGACTTGCTTGCGAAGGGGGAAAGAATTGGACTCGAAAGGGGTCGTGCTGTATCCATTGTGAGGTAATTCGACGAGGTAAAAACGTTACGGAGGGTGACTTTTGTTCGACAGGCGCGATGCCGAAAAATACACACACTCTCTTCCCCACGATATTATTTTTCTCGACCGACGATTTTAGTCCTCATCTAAAAAAATCTGTAAAAGTTAGGTAAAAAAAAAACTCTTAAAAAAAAAACAACTTCTTGTCTATAGTCTCGTATTTGACTCTTAATATAATTACTTGCCGAAGATAATAAAATGAATTTAGTGAAGCGGCGCATTAACAAATATATTCTTCAATATGTGCGCTCTCTTCTTTTCTTCCTGGATATATAACATATATCAATTGTTATTTAAAGATGCTCTCCAGTTCGTTGAATGAGGTAATTAATCTGCGTAAAAATTTTACCGAATTGTCGTGTCGATTGACCACATTAATTAAAACAGAAACAAATGGTTGGAACATTATCGCACAGTACGATTATATACGCCACGCCGCGAGGAAACGTTCGCTATGGAGCAGGTGGCCCCGCACGATGTATATCCTATGAAGTCGATGCGCCATTACATATATCTTTAGGGTCGTCGGCACATATGTTCCTCGTGATATCCATGCAACCTCCGTGTGTACATACACGGAGGGCTCTCGTTGCTTAGTGGCGAATCTGTTCTCGTAAAAGATCAATTCGCCACGCGATGAACTGTGATCTCGAGCCCGTATGCTTCAGAACGGATTAAAAGCGATGAAACGCGAAGAGCCGCGCGTCACGGAAGATTTACAGTCTCCTCTTCATGTCCCCCTCGTGATTGTAACGTAAAGAATTAAGCGCGAGTAACGAGCGTGTCGCATTTAAAACAAAAAAATTGTAGAAGTTGTGATTTTTTTTTAATTTAGAATGCGTTGAAATGCAGAAATGCAGACATTCGCTATAATAGGTAATTCGATTTGCTATTAGTTAAAAGATAAATTATTTTAAAGGAAATTAATTGTGGAAAAGTACTCGGCAAGCAATTTATTGGAATTGTGATTAACTTTATTGCAATAGCAATTGTAAAAGACTGTAGGTGCTATTTATGATTTGCGATGTACAAAACAAAAGAATGCTTTTGCTAAACTTTTTCGCAGTAAATAGATACCTATTCGTTAGAAACAA